TTCTTGCAGATATTCCAATGCACCATTGTTGTTACTTTGTCATGCCATTGTTTGTAGTCAGTCTGTGCAATCTTCTTGCAGCAGCTTATTAGTATTATTATGGTTGATCGATGATGATGATGATTTAACATTAGCTATATTATTGCATGGGAGCAGAATCCGTACACATTTACTCACAAATAAATCATTGTGTTCAATAGGTTTTGCTCCATATGAACGCTTACAAGAAACGGCTTTAACCACCTCTGAATTGATGTTTCATATGATTATGTAATGGAAACGTGTTTCAATAAAATACACTAAATTGAAATCTTATTCCTGTTTAGGGGATAACAGGATTGCATGAAGTAAAAAAGATACAAGTAGAAAGCATACCTAACAAAATGTCTTGAGATACAGTTTTGAATTTGTCTTTTTTTCAACCTTAAACTCATAAAAAGTAAAGATAGGTATGTAGAACATAAGAAAATTCCAAAACCAAAAAGTATGATAATTCAAAGGTCATAAAGCAGTTTGAAAGCAAACAAGGGCACAGTTACACATCATATACTATAGTGCATATTGTTTAGCTGAATAAATGAAGTATCTGAAAAATAAATTGTTTGGTAATACTTCTTGTGCCAGTGTTCCTTGTAGAAAAAATTTGATGCTTAAAAATATTCCAAAAATTTAATACACATATTGGCATGTTTTTTTTTCTCAAAAGCAATGTTGTTTTCAGTTATTACAATAACACACAGTATATACATAGTGTATAAAGTCATCACAGGTACACAACATACACATTTATAAAAAAACGACCTTTCAGGGAATTTAACACGATGATAAACTGGGAGTTAGGTGCTAGTTGCTACCTTTCTGACTGCTGCACAAGCATGGTTTGAAATTGAGAAAATGTTATCTGGTTGGCTATGTGAGGTGATCTGAAACATGGTGACACCATATATCAACTCTTGAATTCTCTACAGGGCTAGTAATGAGGAGTATCATTAGTATGCAGTATCACACTGGGTGGGTGGCAGTGACACTGTGAGTCCGACTTCCAGTGTGGTCATTCTGGTCCTGTTCTATAGCTAGTGTATAATGACCCATCCATGTATATGTGTGACTTTTCTGTGTTTGCCATTACTCTCATCTGCATGCATTGCGCTAGTCTTCTGGATATACCAGATACTAGCAAGACAGGCTGTTGAACTGTCCTGACAGAAATTAAGCATGTACTTCAGAATGAATCCCCTGCAAACATATTCATGGTCACATACTTTTATACTTCCCAATTATATAACCATATATACACGCATACCTTTATCAAAAATTCATTTTCTGCTTTTTTAAACTAGTTGATCAGGATTGTCAATACTGCATTTTTGTATAATCAGTCTTTAAATCCAAGGAGAATTTACAACTTTTAGCGCCCAACCAATTCACACAAGACTATACAGTCGTGTGAAAAAGAGCAAGTACACCCTCTTTGAATTCTATGGTTTTACGTATCAGGGCATAATAAACATCATCTGGTCCTTAGCAGTTCTCAGAAGTAGGTAAATACAACCTCAGATGAACAACAACA